CCGCGAATCCGTGTAGATACCGGTGCTTTACATCCCACGAGACGTTGTACGCGTAGACGTTTCGCGTGTATTAATCTGCATAAACTCATTGCTATGCAAACGAAGAGATTCGACGTCGAACTAGAATATCACGGGGAGCCTTCGCGGCTTACAACCGCGGCTTAACGGAGCTCTTACCTTCTCGGGGCTACGCGCAAACCCCCTAGCCCCCTTTCTCACCGCGGTAACGTGCATATGTGGACGCGAAACATATAAACATGTATACCAGTCGCTATACAGGGTGGGCCACGTAACGCTCGGATTGCCACTGCCACGTTTCAGCCATTCCACGTTAAATCAAATGGAATTCGCTGAATGGCCAGAGACGTTCTTCAATTCGCAGGGTTTGTTTTGTTCCCTAAGAAATTTAACTTGATGCTACGCAGTTTTACGGATGGAAACCCCTGCTGAAATTTATGAAGAGCTAACATATGATGAATTAGTGTATTCACGACAGATAGCATTGAATCCTTGAATTCGTTAATATGAATCTTTTTTGAGTTATTCGTATAGTGAAAATAAAAACTGTTGGCATTACAGCATGCATAATAGTATTAATATTCAATGAAGGATTTACTTGAATAAAGAAAATTACTGTACTAATATTTCATAGTTATATCTACTTTGAACGTCTTGATCATATTGATCGTCAATAAGCTGATCCCATTAACATAAAGTATCTGACCATATGTCGTAAAATCATTTACCTAATTGTATACGTGCTTCTGTGTAATTGTTGAAAGAACGTGTAAATAATTTGGTATGCCAGATGTTCAAAATGGTGACCAGTCAGAATTTATCCAATAATCGCAGCGACTATTTGCACTGCCCCAATTGCTTAATCCAACAAGTCACTTATTTTACGCGCAGAATGTAGGCACTGAAAATGCTGCGCATTTAATGAGCGTAACGTTGTTTGCGTATTTTGTTTGACTTAATGTCCCATCAATGAAATGTGTACAAATTATTCCATTATCCACAATGACGCAGCAAAAGTTAATTAATCAAAATATTTCCTCAGAAATCCTATTTTAATCACTGAATTTTCTATGGACAAATGCAACATATTTCTTAAAATATTTTAAAATATGTTCATTTTATAGTCTTCTTAATGTCCATGATTTTCAGTGACTTTAAATGACCTGATCATTGAAATCATCTCAGAAAGTGTTGAAACGGAAGGTATTTAAAAGTTATTTGTTCCAATAAGCAAACTAGACCTTCCAATTTCCTAAGAAAATTCGCTTGATTAACACTTTGACTGGCATGTCACCGAAATTCGAAAAGTTCTTGAATAGATGCTAAAATTAATTAAAAAAAATATTTAATTCATTTCTCCCAACGAGGTATTGAACGGACCGTATTCTATCGGGTTTATGAGACGTAAAAAAGCTAGAATAGTAGTCGCTTTGAAGAACTTTTCCTTTCCAGTTTCTGTTTTGTTAAAGAAGTTGCTTCAATCGTAGAAGTTATTTGACAAAAGCCAATTCGACAGTCAACGTGTCGAAAACTCCACCCGTCACGTAACAGTTACCACTATCAAACCACCATTATCTCGATCATTGTTCTTTATCCCTAGAACTATAGGAGTTATTCATGTGGCTTGTCTTAGCCGACTCACCCTGTAGATACGCGTATAAACGCGGTGTATATTGTCCGGGCGTAGCGATCGTAAAACGGACCTCCTTCGTCGCGTCGATGGAATAATAATTGCGAAAGCCCGGGGTATCGCGGAGGCGAAACGGGCCACCGTAAACGACCGAGGCAAAACCCATGTGTCCCACCTGCCTCTCACGACCATGGTAATCCCTCGCCGTCCTGGGGAGATGAAAAGAAAACAATCGATGAATAATTTCGCTATCGAAACGTTGGGTCCGAACGAAACAGCGACCGAGAAAGGAAGAGAGAAAGAGAGAGAGAGGAGACGGTGACGGGAAATTGATTCGAATGTTTCGCGCCGTATCTAGGTCTCTCACTCTCTGTTCCCCTCTCCAGCACCCCTTCAATGGATATAACGTCGAGATAACGTTCTTTTTCGCGAGCAGCGCGAACGATGAATTGAAAAATTTGCATAACCTGGAATCACGAAGCGGGGGCTGATCAAGTGTCGAGCCACCCCTTTGACCGTGTTCCCACTCCGTCCTAAACCAAATTCATCGTTCTCCACGGACGTTGTTCGAGCCACGTAGAAAGTTCATCCGAGCCGACGATGGACGTAATAGCAGCCGGTTGAAATACACTTTGTTTGATCAGCAATCGAGGCTGACGTGCCTCGCCGTTGTAACGAGTCTCCCGGCCGGAGCTGAAAGAATTTTCAAAGAGAGAACGCGGCGGGACCTCGCGCGGGGTAAAGTGCACGGCCAGGCGCCCTATAAACTGTGGATTTTCCGCGCGCTGTGCTGGCCGTACGTTCCTGCATGTATGTTTAATGCAAGCACGCGAGGCCTACGACCGGGCGACTTCTTACTACCGTTCGCCATTACTTATTCACTTCCGGTGCAATTACCGCGGCGTACTCCATCAAAGTCCGGACACGGGAATCGCAACTTTCTTACAACCGCCCGATCCCCTCTTCGAAGCATATACGTGTACCGCGCGGCACGTTCACACCGACACGCCACGTTGCCTTTACTCGTACGAGCGAGCAACATTGTTGAGTTTATGAATTTATAGACGTTATCTACAATGTACTTGGCAATCGAGAAGGTGTTCGCATTTTCTCGCGCCACTCCCGTCAATATGTAGGGTAATTGGACGTGATTTCTTCGATGATTAAGTTAATGAGCATTAGCATGAATCTTTATTATTTCTGACGGTATGCTTGGTTAATAAATAATCGTGGAAAAAGCGAAGTCTTTTAAAAATCTGTTTCAGAGACTTTTTATTTGAACTTAAAGTAACCCCGTGTCATTTTGATTTTATTAAAAGACTAATAACATTAACTTTTTAGATATTCGTTTGGACAATCATTCCTGATAATTATTAAGAATCGTATCGTTTACCTTTCGTACTCCGTTCATCGGCAGTGATAGCATTAACATGGTTTTGATGGTAATTTTTAAGTATTAAAATACCTTGGAAGGGACCAGTTGATTGTAAATCAAGATTGACTGTATTGAAAAAACAATTGTTTAATGCTCAAAACTACCAATATTCGACAAGACAAGATAAAAGTAACACGCTTTGTCGTATATTCTGCGATTCATCGATCATATGATTCTCGTATTATTTGAGAAATTCTGCGTCCTGACATTGAACAATTAGAAAGGTATCTATATCGTTTCAATGACACGCTGTCTGGCGGGAAATAGAAATGGATTGGCTGACATGGACGGAACGGCCGCAGGGAAACCTTTGGGGAGCTTTTTAAAACCGTGGTTTTTCGAATTGATCCCAGTTATTTCCACTCTCTTTTTTTCCTGTTCATAAATCTTTTTTTTCTATCGACAACGTAGGCGTTCTGTTTCCATTCTCCGCGCAATTGCGTATAACGCCGACGCAAACTCGACCAAATTGAATGAAACAAAGGATTCAACTTCGCCGGACTGCGGCATACTCGCTCGAAATTACTTTGCCGAATTCATGGCGCCTCATCTGCCGCGGCATCTTCCTTTCAACAGGCGACGAATTAATACAGACGGAAATTTAAATCTCACCGAAACTTTATTCTTCTTTCAATCTTTCATTCAACTTAAATCGAATAACTTCGTAAATTAAATGAAAACGCTCGCGGAGCACACGCACTGTTATCGTTCATCGGGAACACGGCGAAGTTGCCCGCAACGTTAACGTCGTTCACTTTAATTTTACAAACCGCGCGATACAGTTCCGCTCGATTTAAAAATGTACTTCTTTCAAATGGAATTTACTTCTGCCTTCTTGTGATAACTGTTTCCAATCATAGCATGAACTATCTAGAATAAGGTTTGTATTTGAAGGAACAACAATTGAAGCGGAACGTAAAATCATCTTGCATTTAGTAGCAGTGGACTGTAACGTCGACCCAATGATCAAATAAATGAATATACCTTTAGAAAACGTCTAGATTCTGTAACTGATATTTAAAACATGCGAGAGAAGAAAATTGAGAGGTAAGTTGAAATACTTATCATGCGCATACTCGAACAGAAGTTTTAAAGTTAACGATTACATTTGGGTTCTTGTACTGAGAAAGTTCATTGTTCAATGAAAAATATAGGAATAGAAGTAAATGAATTTAACGTTTAAAAAGTTCCATGTGACAAATAATAAAATTAGGAAGTCCTTTCATTTCTTGTCAAATCAATCTGCAAACTTTGAATAAAAGATAAACTGCAAGTTCTTAGTACATCATTTACCAGCCGACATGCGGAGACTCTAAACTGGACTATCGCTAGTAAGTAAACTGAATGTTGTAAAAAATCAAGTCTACTAACGAATAATGACAAGTTTTCATTCTTATAAGCGAATTACAGGAAAGTTAAATTAAGCAAAACTTTATGTTCCACGGTAATATTTTCCATATATGAAAACCACCAAAATCTATACTAAATTCTATCGAACTTAGTGCATTTTTACGTTTCAACTACTTCTATATGCCACAAATGCATAAGAAACCACATTTTATAACCACAGATAATGTCACTGCCGTTCGAAAAAATTGAAACGAAGTAACACAGAATGATTTCATAAGTAACAGAAATCGGTGTCCCGCCAATTATTTGCCATGGAAAAAACAAGCCGGAAAAAAGGAAAGGTAACGGAAGTAACTCAGCGCCGAGCGGAAGAGTATTGCCGTTCATTTTGATTTTAACGAAGTCGTCGAACATGTCAGGGCCCTGTATCGTCTCGCGAACAGGAGAGCTTCGACAAGGAACATTCGACGGAACGAGTCCGACCCTCTTGAAAACCCTCTTGCTCGTTCCGCCCTCCCGACTATCGTTAGCGGTGGCGTAACGGTCGCGTTTCCTTTTTTGTTTCAGGTTGACGAGGCAGAAATGGCACGAGCGGAGTCACGGTGAGAAAAGGGCGAGGGTGAAGCCCTCGCGCGAGCCGGCAGCCATGGCGGAAAGCTTCGGTTTCTTCGCCGGGGGGGCGATACCTGCCGTCCGTCTTTCGCTTTTTCTCGCTTTGGCCGGCACGACGCGCGCCGTAGACCTCTGTAAGTACATCTAAGCTGTAATCTGCCGGGGCTTTATAGTTTTCATCGAGGAACTTCCTCTTATAACTTATTAACGGCCGACACGGCGCACCATGGTGAACTGCTTGACCACGGCGGACGAACTTTCGATCCGAAATTGACTTTGGCCCCGCACGGAAAAGCTGGATTTACGTCCCCGCCCACGTTCTACTCGCTTGCCACCGTTTCGCACCGTCAAATTGGAAACTTTTAGCCGAAAGTTGTATTTAAACAACGTTTCACGACGAAAACGCGCGGAGACCGAAGGGCCGGCTCATGCGAACCGGTAATACGATCGAGTAATAGTACCACGTTCCCAGGCTACATGCATCGGCGACACACGGTTTTGTTTGATAGAAATTACTTTGCGGTGATCGACGAACTTTCGGTGTAAAATTGAATCGGCTCGCCCTGTGGCGGTCTCAGTTTGTTTCGAACCGTCTGCGGTGAATCGGGAATAATAGGGCGTTTCCCGGCGATTCGGGTTATTGTCCTAAATTTGGGGAATAAAGCTCTCATGTCAGTTAATGATCTTTTTTTTAATAATTATCGAGTTTTATAAATTAAATGTTATGATACGACACACATGAATTTGATTAAGTTTAAGGAGCGCGTCAATTTCACACGTATTGTATTTTATAAACACTATTTAGTGTATGTTCATGTCGACTTTGATGCAATTATACCAGTTTGTACTTCAATTATGTAATTTTAAACCTCTATCTTCTAAACTCCGAATGAACAAACATGAATTTTCCTAGGAACAGAATAAACCGTACACTAAATATCCGCAAACCTAGTGTTAAATTTGCTGTAACAGAGTTTTTACCCTTTTATTTTTACATTTTTCATTTCCATGTGGATTATCATACAGATTTCGTTTTCTGAAAATTTTTCTACAATTTTATTTTCTTATTGCAATTCATCAACATACGTAAAAATTGCTATACGTGGAATATTATGCTATCGTCAATTGTTATTAACGCGTAATAAGAAACAACTGAAAGTATTAACATAGTTTTTACAAACCTTACATTATCATACAAATATGTTTTTCAAAAATGTTTTCGTTTCATGGATCTTAAGTGACACACGAGGCAAAATATATTCGAACAATATTTACTGTCCAGAAGTGGCTTCGATTTTTCAACGTTATATCAGTTAAATATAATGTAATACTGACTTGTATAATATTTACACAACCGCGACCCAATTTCAAAATTCTGTTTTCACAGAAAATACACAAGAAGGTAGAATAAACTTCGTTACTCGGGTATACGCGCCGGGGCCTTAATCTCGCGAAACTTTGATTAAAAATTAACCATAACTGGTTCTGTTGAAATGGAATACGGTACAGCTTCGCGCCTCGGCAATTCCTAGCCTCCTCCCTCGGTTCCCAGCGTTATTCAAAGATAGAGAAAGGGAAGCATTCAAAGCGTAGAGAAAATTCCTCTTTGCGACAAAGAAGATTGGTTTACCCATCTTGAGACAAGGCCGCCGGAATTTAATGGGTCAATAAACGTCCGAGTAAATTTCCCTCGGCGGACGTTTAGCAAGCTACTCTTATCGAACGTCTGACCTATGATCAGGTTTCCTACGGCTCGTACGAAAAACCGACATGCATCGATTTGCATGTCGGAGTGGCTTAGTCAGCATCCACCGAGCCCGTTAGTTTCGCTAAACGATCTGTCGCCGTCAGCCGCGTTACTTTTCGATATAACGAGTTCACTCGTCAGAAGTATCGGAATTGTTTGGAGACCTCAGCGAATGACCTGCTACCTCGGAATCCAATTCCAGGATCGTCGATGCACGATTGAGAAAGTTTCCCTTAAAATTGAAATGAAATATCCGTTATCTACTCTTCCGTTAGATCATCCCGTAAATTCCTGTCGATTTGCAAATTGAAGTTCAGATCGATATTTAATAATGACCCCTGTGTTCTGGAGAGGAAAGTAATTGACCTGCTTCTTTATCAGTTTTGTTTTCTGTGTTCTTAATTGAACCATTGTGTTCACGCTGTAAAGGTTTTCCGAATTTCTGGAAAGACGCTATTGTATAATAACGGATAGTTTCATTTATAACAGATGAAAAGGGAAGTATTTTCCTTGCATAGAATAATTGTCTATCATGATACTTCACGTTTATCAATTATAACAGGGATTCACTTACCTAATCCACACCAACTTAATACTTAAACGCCTGGCAATTCCAAGGTATAATACACGTCAAATACCGGATCTTTTATAGAATCGTTTAGAAAATTAACCGTTTGGCTGCTGGCGGATTTTTTCGGACATATGCCAAAACTGTGGCACTAATTGCGCGTGTATGGGAAAAAATGGAAAACACTTTTCATACAATAAACTCACTTATATTGCATTGCAACAACAAAAATTTTAAAAAATACCATTTATTTACTTAAATTTGTTTTAATTCATTTTGTGAATAAAATTAGTAAAAACGCAGTCTTGGCATAACAAAAAAGGAGCGCTGTCGCACTCTTCGCAATTGTGGCAAAACACAAGAGGAGCGCCATAGCACTCCTCAACAATCAAACGGTTAAGGTAAATCTTTAGATCTCTGTCCTCCTCGCCGATTTCAATGATTTTAAAATATGTTGCCAGGGACGTTATTCTGGATAACTTTTTCCTACAGACATAACAGGCGGTCTCTTTCAGTTTTTAAGATATTCGCAAAAATATGTCCTAGAAAAGGGGTTGTTATAACTATTCAGATAAAGATCTTTGATGATATTCACGTCGATATATATTGTTAAAGTTATTCTGTGTCTAGCATTTTTAATTTTTCGGCAGTGATCGTTGGTTCAAAAGTTATAAAGCATTAAAGTTTGACATTACGCTCAAATCTTTCGACTTCATTTCTTGGTGTGTACATATTAGTACACATTATGCACACATGAGTTCCATTCAGATAACAAATATTGGTATCAGTGGGGCTAGCTTTTTCGAAATGATAATGCAGGAGGAGGGGTGTAGTCAATGTTATCATTTCATAATTGCAAAGATCTTTCGAATCTGATAAGATTATTGGCAAGTATGAAGCCACCCGTGCCCTAAAAAAACTGTCCGCACTAATACTGTCTAATTATCTGAATGAAACAAATTTCGATGTACATATTATACGAAACAACTCCAATGAGTGAAAAAAAATTACAATACGGCGCGTATTTTTCTGTATAACTCGAGAACTGAAAGAGATCGGCCATTGTGTGTATAGCAAAAACTTATTCAGAATGACATTATAAGGTTGTTTTGATCAGCGTGGAGATCACGCCCAGACATTTATCACATACTTTTGCTTGTGATTCGAAAACCGAGCCCGTCCATTGTATGTATAAGAAAAAGTTGTTTAGTATGATATCCTTTGCAACATATTTAAAGCTCATTGAAATCGGTGAAGAGAATACACAACTAAACATTTATTAAAATATTTTACTTCATGTAAATTTCATTACTTCAATTAAATCATATCATTACTTCAATTAAATTTCAGTAATTTTTACGTTTAAAGTTATATGACGCGTGATACACGTACTGTTACTAACGTATCACATCACTCTTGTTTTATCTGTGTCTTTTCTTAAGAATATGTATTAATAAAAAGGGGCCATTCGGGTTACATTAGTACTGCTGATCAATTTTTTAAAATTTCGTTCACGTCACTTCATTCTTTATAAAAGGGTAACACACATTTCTAATAAATGTTCCATGATTAAAAGATTTACCGTTTTGCAATTTGGAATATGTGTTACTATAAAGCAGTAATTATCAAATATTTTTAAATACCCTACATCATTTCTTGCAAGATAGGTTGTAGAGCTTAAAGTACTGATAATGAGAAATGTTTTATTCAATAATGCTTGAATAGTATATTATACGTTACAACATTTAGTTCGTAAATTCGTATCTTTTGTGAAAGTTTTATGTCATTTGTTCATTATCATGATGAAAAACAAGTTTCTATTTAATAATTTTACGTTCCTCCCTCCTACTTTTCTGAAATAAGCAAACTATCTTTACTAGATTACGCTGTAAAAAATGCAAATTATATTTAGATCTTGCAGATTTATAGCAGACCTAAAATTTAATTGACCTTACTAATTTAATTAATTTTACTGCTCTTTTAATAATGGAAGCGTGTATTTCATTTTACTTTGAAGAGGCACTAATATTATTAATTTACGTCAGAAATATGAATAAAATAGAGGAAAATATGAAGGTGAAAATATAATTAAATTATTTTTTATTTCTCGTTAACATATAATTAATAAAAAAAAGTAAACATATTAACTCGATACACATTAAAAAAACACTTTTTTAATGCCTTCTTGTAATATTATCTGTTATAAATTCTGAACCATGCCACGAATCGGAACTTTTTCTTTGAAAAGGCTACCATTTAAAATGTTCCATGATATATAAAGTACAAATATTTCTGTAGATTAATAAAGATTTTTATAGATTTCGTCCAAATGAGAATAAAAAAGATGTCGTTAGTCTATTAATGGTTATATCACATTGCGCATAAAATGGAAATCCTATGAAACTTAAAGAAATATGTTACTGTATTTAATTTTTTAGAATCAAAAACGCCATAAATGCATAAAATCTTCAATCTAACAACGTAAATCACAATGTAAATGGAACGACTATATAATACTCCCCACCGGCCATTAATTTCAATCTCATCGACAACACCATTCAAATTTCACGCGAGAACTTCCCGGAACTCGAGTCGATCAGCCTGGAAGACCAGGCGAGCGACGGGGAGAAACGAAAATCAAAGAACGATATCGCCATAATTTCGGTCTCGTTGACCGACCGTTCATTGAAAACGCTTTTTCATTAATGAAAACGCTATCGCTGGCGCTATATCAAATACCTGCTCCTAATTGCGATATAAATTTCCCGACGAGCTCCCGCGAAAGAAGTGTCCCCGTTTCGCCCCCATTCATCGCGGCG